ACCTTCGGACGGTGAGAAAGCCGCACATGTATCTTGTCCTTGAGAAGCATCCAGTGAAGGAACGAGCCGGGCAGCGAAGTCTTCGAACGAAAGTGGAAGACTCCCGACATCCGCATATGCCTTGGAAGAAAGGGCGGTCGTGCGCACAACCGCTTCCGATGGCGTCGAGGGAGGTGTCGAGTCACCCTCGGCGGCGCCTACTTTCCCTGACGGGGTTTCCCCTTGGTGGGGCAATGTGCAGCATCGTGGATGGTGCTGTTGCACCAAAAGCAATAACGGTACTTGAGTCTCGTGCGATAAGAATTCGTCGAGAGTCCGTATTGTGCCCAAGGTTCATCGGCGGCTGATCCGGTGCTCGGTGTAGAGGTGGACTGAGTCTTCGTCTTGTCGCGACCGTGATTGTTGCGCGGCCGTCCACCCTCCCGGGCAGCTGCCAACACTTCACCCTCGTTTGGTGTTGCAGCCTCGGTAGAAGTAATGCAAGCCACCTTTGGCTTGGGCTGGGTGCCGCTCGCCGTCACGGAAGATCGGCCAGCGTTGCGGGCTTTGATATTCGTGAGAATGATCCGTGACGCGGTGATGAAAAGCTTGTTGGATGTGTCGAGTGTCTCTGCAATCAGCATCAGTGCGTTTTGCAGAGCTGGACACGAGCGCATGATAAACAAGTGCTTAATGGCGCGGAAAGCAAGCGGCAGGTCAGGTGTGGAGGCAAGTTTTTGAAACTCGGTAATCCAGTCCTGACTGAGCAGCGTGTTCTGATGGAGCTTGTTGAGCTTGTCCATCGCTTGCAGGTCGGGCGGCTCCACTTGGAATCGCTTGTGCCAGGCGTCAGTCAACTCCTGCCAAGTGAGCTTGGTGTGCAGTTCCGACACTGCTACGCCGTGGCTGRTCAAGATGTTGTCCARCCATGCTTGACAYGCACCACCAGATCGGTGGTACAAGCACAGATGTCGATCGTTGTTCGGGACATGGTGCATGTCGAGCCTGAGAGTAAACTGGCGCCACCACGGGATCGGTTCCGTCTTGGATTGATCGTAGAAAACTGGAATGTCATCCAGTTTGGGTGGGCGCCGGGAGGATGCAGCGGCGGGTTTACGGTGGCAGCAGCCTGTACCTGCGTCTCCAATTGCAAGTTCGTTGCTTGCTGCGACGTCCAGAAGTCCTGATGCACACGTTTGATGTTGCTGACGTCATCCTCCAAAACTTGCACACGGGTGGTAAGGGTGGAAGGCCCTGCGGCTGCTACAGCAGCTGGCTGTTTGTCCAATGCCTGCAGCCGTGCGAGCATCTGGTCCACGGTCTGCTGCAGGTGAAGGATTTCCTCCTGCTGCAGAGCGCAGGTGGCCACGAGGTCATGGGAGACCTGCGCAAGGGCTGACAACCCTTTCTCAGTCTCCGGGGCCCCGTCTGCAGATGTCACTTCCACCCAATGTGCGGCCTCATCGCCGATCACGGTCTCCCGCGTGAACAGTCGTTCCCGCTGGCGTGACCGGTGTTCGGCTGCCGCCTGCAGGTCTGCCTCTTCTTGACGAAGTCGGTCCTRTTCCTCCTTCTRTCGCTTGGCCTCCTCCTCTTGTTCGAGCCGATTACGTTCCTTGGCCGCGGCGGYRGCCCTATCGTTGGCCTCTTGAATGAATGCCGCCAGGCGTTCCTCATAGGCCAGGAGGGATTCTCCCGCCTTCCGGTCCATGGCCTTGGTCTGTGATCGAGTGAG